GCGGCAGCGGCTAGCTTCGTTGTCTCTGATGATGCCGTGACTCATGGGCATTGTTTTCATCTGCGCTGCTGATGACCTGTTGGTCTTCATATTCGAGTGAGGCATCTGTGGTCCTCGACTGACCTGCCTGAAGCGATTACTTCCGTCGTTTGACGAAAAGAGCCATCAATCGTGAAGCGATACAATCAGCCATAACAGCGATAACCGACTGTGCAGATGGTTGTAGGGGCATGCTGTCAATCCGGATCATAACTGACTTGCTCCCGGGCTACTCGCTCCCTGTGATACCGATGTACCGATCGACTGTTGTGGATCAAAAGACACAACTTCCATCCCGAATGACGCAGAACTCTGACGGTCACTGCTGAACCTGCTGAACGTGGTACGCCTACAGACGTGGATCTGTTACATCGAAACAAACAGTGGACAATCTTCGAAGCTTAAGCCGACCGACATGAATATCCGGATTTACTCCATAGCTTGGGAACATATAAACGGATAAGATTCTACGTATCACTTCCGCTGCAGCCACCACAAGGAACCGGCTGTAACATTAGAGGGAAAAAAGTAGGCAGTTGAAACGCCTACGTGTTGGATTATTTAGGTCGCCCTCGTAGCCAGTTGACTTATGCCTATGATTTGATAAGGACTGGCCCGTGCCGACCTGAATTCAGCGAAGCGCCTCCATTAAAGTGAATTCTTATCGCTGAATAAACCAATAGGACGGAATAACGACGTTGACGTATCATAGGCAATTTGATATTTCTGCAAAGTGTGTAAGAAGCGCTAACTTATGAATTACCATTGCTCTAGATAATGAAGGCCATCTATGGCTTAATAAATAGTTCTTCAGATATCGGTATCAGATAATCACATTATTCGCACATGATTATCTTCAGCGGACGTCATCCCTTAAAAGAAATGTTCATCAATATACTGGGCAAAAATCAATTCATAAAATAAGCTCGTGTCAGCAATAACATCGCTGTATCAGTGGTACGTGGATCTATGGTTCTACTTGCGTAAGACACAGACTTGTGTCGTGTTTAACTGGCAGATTTATGATTACTTGTGTGCATCATTTGCTTACATAGCTGAGAAATGCAGTAATCAGTGATCCTGTTTAAGCAACAAAATACTCTCGAAACTTGCAACTAATTAACGTAGAAAAAAACGGTAGCGGAAGGCCGAATACTGAAATAATATAAGCACGATCCAGCAAAATTGCTGTAAACCCACCATTGATTGTTGCGCAAAGAAACTAATGTTACGGAATATTGAACACCCCGAAACAGGTCGAACGCAAACAACAGCGATGAGGAACTGTTGGAGGATTCTGTGAAGGAGGAACCGCTTCGTCGCGTCGTCAGACGGTTGAGAAATTGTCCCACCCCCCTTTTCTCGATGGTTAAAACCCGTAACTCGAACAGAGGTGAAGCGACGAGGTCTCGCAGACCGATCGAGCGGCGGCGCACTTTTGCGTTCGCCGAGACGGGCGAGGCGACGGGTGATGAATGAGCCAATAGAAATAGCGATGGCAAAAACAACAACGGACATTTATCACGGTTGGCCCATATGAGACTTATGAATTACGACGCAATTACACGTCTGAATTTGGCTGATGAATTCGGTGATGATGAATGACGCGCATTTGTCGGACGTCGTCCGGTGACGGTTGAGCGGAGACGACGGGGAGACGGGCGACGGGCGATGGACAACGGGAGACGGGTGTGGGGTGACAGTGCTCACGTTTGACGTGTGATCGCAGTGGCCAGCATCATCTCCAGCGATGCCTCATCTTCACCCTCACTTGGCTCTCCCTCGTTTCCCCTCGTCATCATCGTCGCCCAACAAATCCGTGGCACATGTCGCGCATTCTTCTTCCCGTGATTATATAATAACATCACATACACACAGCTGTCGATCATGGGCTCGGGCGTCACGGGTTCAGCCGGCCTCGCGAGGGCATTAAATCTTGCGTGCGACGACAATGACGATGAATGACGACATCG